GAAGCTTCTATGAAAGTAGCCTGATATGGTTACATATTTTGTGAATAAAACAGATAAAGTTCTTTTTGGTGGGGTGTTTACAAACTTTCATATTTATGTAGATCTGCTCAGGCTTTGCTAATTAAAGTCTGACTTCATTGGCAGTCATAATTAGAGCTCTTCAAGATCAAAAGAGTGAAACATGAGCTCTGTTTTTTTTATAATTCTTCAGACAGCAGATTACCTAAAAGGGTGCAGTGGGGTGGCCCTATGTCCGCCTCTGCTTCCAAGCATACAGAAAGGTGCTGCTCAGAAAAGTCAACAAAATTAAATAGAAAAACAAGGATTTTGAGGCTAATTGAGAAAAAGCCTTTGTAACTGAATAATAGTTCAGGAGAATTAATTTAAAAGTTCAGAATAGTTTTTAAAATTAGTTTTAAAACTCTTATCAGAGCAAAAGAATTTAAAAACTCTTGATCTGAATTTTACCAAACTTACAACAAAACCAATTTATGTTGAAAGGTGGCATGCAAAGTCTCACAAAAGTATTTTAGGGGGAATTGATTATTGTGCTGGTGATATGTGCTTTCACTCCTAGTGATCAAGGAATACTGCTTCTGTTTAATTAGAACTCTGCGAGTAGAAAGTCACTGTGAACACCACTCTCTGGTCATTCTGTGCTCCAATAACTTAGAACCGAGTTTAAGAGGAAATCCTCTCTCTTCGGGATGCATGGAAATCATTGTTAGGCAGTCTACGTTTTTCTTTTCCATAGTTTTCCACTCATCCTAGCACAATTGCAAATGCTCTTGAGCTTGCATTAAGCATGCTTAGACTGCCCCCAAGATACACTGAAAGGGATGTGGTTCTTCCTTCACCTCATGCATAGCCAGATTAGTCATCCAAGGAAGAAATTTAAAGAGGAATTAGTGAGCAGTTAGAATTTTTTCCTTGTTAATAGCTTGTTATGGAATAATCCTATGCCAGGAATAGACATGTAAGTCTGGATAGTAAAAGTCATGCTTCCAATGCCATGGAAAGTAAAAGATTTTAGTAGAGAGATACCTCTGCTCCAGCACTACAAAAGTGCATGTGTGAAAATGATCTTTCTATCTTCTTGTCACTATTAACAGTAATTATTTAATACAAATATTGGTTCAGTGAACTTTATGATTAACCAAAGTTGTGCATTCTAACCTTAAACTTTGTCAATTAAGTGTAGACCGTATAAAATATGAAGAGACGTTTGTTCACACCAGTAAAACACAAGAAGCTTGGAAGAAAAATTTGGCCTGGGTTTGGAACTTGTTGCCTTTGTGACTCCTGTTGCAGTTTGGTACACACGTTTCAGCCTTCTCAGCATCCTAATTTCCCCTACTTCCTGTTACTTAGAAGAAGAAATTTATTTCATGCATGCAGTACTTTGTTTCTGTAGAGAGTCTGCATTTAAAACAGAATCCACATTTTTAAAAAAGATGCACAGCCAGATCTTTAGGTCTGTGAAGGTTGTTGAGCTACTTTGATTTACAGATGTGAGATAAATCCTAAATCCAAGATTTCCGTGAGCAGCTGAGCTATGGCTGTGCGTGGTTCCATCCATGGGGTGAGAGACGGGGAGATGACTAGCTGTGGATTATGTGATCGAAGCCAGTTCAGTATTTATAGTTTATGCTTTGAAATTTTAGAATAAAATAACACAGAGGCCTGCTTTTTACTCCAACTGGTTCAGTCTACGTCTTCCTTTCCTCTATCGTCATGCCAACAATGCATTCAGCACGAGTAAGAGGCTTTGTGCTGTCATTGCACTGTGAGATTGCCATGTTTTTGAAAGGTGTCAATATGATATGCATTTGTATACCCCAAATAATATATTTCTTCTGATGCAGATAGGTATCAAGAAATCTTGAAAGCTCAAGTAAAATAATGAGGCAGTGAAGCCAGAAGAACAAGTAAAATAAGTTTGTTCCCGTTATTCTGGATTTATCTCAATATTCTTGTCTCATCCCTCAAAATGTAAAGAATGATAGTTAGGGAAATGAATGAAAGAGTTGCAGTATGTGGCTACCAAAAGCATAATGGTTTTCTGTGTAACCTATTTATGCTGGTTGTAAAATTAGGAACTGTCGTTACTACCCCACTTCACCTAAGGAAGACACGTATATCAAGGAGTTCTACTGCTGTAAAACTGTCAATGAACTGAACGGCATGGAAGTACTACAAGATATTTGTCTACATGTATGCTACCCACCAGGATGCAGGCACTGATAGAGGATTTAATTGACAAATTTTAAAGCTGAGATCTGTCCCACTCATATTTTCTAGTTAAATCACTGACCTTGAAGTGTTTTCATTTGAGCTATAGAACTAAGAGTGTCCCAAGTATGAAGAACTGATGACTTACCTGTAAACATAATTTGAGGTTAAAGATGCTGTTTTAAAAAGTGTTGTGCTGTCTTCGTGCATTTTATTCAAGTTACTCAGTGCTAAGAACCCTGCAATTAACAATTAGCATCATAGAACTGGAAGCGATATTCAGTATGTAATGGATACAACTTAAAATGCGAGGGGATTGTAAAGGAAGGCTATGGGGCAGGAAACAGAAAATGAATCGGAAGGCAAATTGCAAATGGTGATGTGTTCAGACAACGTGTGGAAAATATAACACAGTTTAGATGGAAGAATGAAAGGACCTAAAGGATTTAGTAGGATTAGTAGGATAGTAGGATTAGATTTAGGATTCCTAGGCATGGTGGTGTTGGGTTGATGGCTGGACTCTATGATCTTGGAGGTCTTTTCCAACATTAATGATTCTATGATTTCAGGGAAGGTTTTTTGGGTTTTCCCTGGTTTTTTTTTGCTTTTTGCGATGTGCTTATAGAGACTACTATGCAGCAATGCCTAGTAGGCCAAAATTGTGAATTTCCTTTTTGTTTCTGGTAGCTTATAAATGCAATGACCATAAAAAGCACAGTGTTAACTGATAGCAATCATAATGGGAATACTGATAATCTTTATAGTGCTATATATTTTGTTTGGTCCCACAACCAAGGCTAAAGTTTTTTCTCAGAAATATAAGTACAATTCCAGTTTAAGCAAACATTTGATAACGTATCTGGAGGCAGAGTAAGGACAAAAGGATCATCTTTAAGTCTGTCTGCCAAAAGGAAAGTTAAAGGAGTCTTAAGTTGCTAGAAAATGTAATGGGCTCCTTTTTTTCATGAAATAAGCATTACTGCTTATAGTAGGCATCACTACAGCTGTAGAAAAGATTAGACAATGCAAAGAGAAGCAAAATGATTTAGAATCAGAAGGCTGATACAGAAAAATATGAGACTGACTAAGCACCTAAAACTTCTAAAAGAAAGATGTTATGCTGACGTGTTTGGTCAGTCACTATACGAACTGAAGTTAGTATAAAAAAAGCAAGTACAGCAGTTGGTCTATTACCAACTTTAGTTGCAGTGCAAAGCAGAAGTCCTGAAGAAGACTTTTCTCTTAAGTTGTGAGAATCTGTGTCCTTGAATACCTTAGAGAAAAGAGGAGGATATAGAAAATACTGGCTCTACAGCAGTCACCATTTGTAATTATGAGCTATTGCCTGAATCTATTAGCAATGAAGCCACCTGTTTGCCCAGTATAAATAGCTCAGAATTTCCTGCAAGGAAATTACATGAAGCATCAATAAGGAATGATATTACATTTTTAGGTCAATATGACTATCATTACTTGGCATTTATCTTTTCTTACTGATATCATGTTTGGCAGCCAGTATCATAGAAGACTAAGAAATTGTTGCTCTGTGTTTTGTTTTCATTGGTGTTAAATTAGCCTGTTCAGTAATGGCAGTCATCCATTCTGCTTGTTTTAGTGGATCCTTGGTATTTCATTTTTCTTATCATGTGTTGTAAAGAGAGCAATACATAAAGATGGACTAGTGCTGTGATGGTTCCGGACATGTTAGACCATCAGGGTCTTTGGATGTATATGTTTTTGTACACGTTTTAAAAGGGGGCAGAATGAACTTCACCTCTTCTCTCTGCTGTGGGTATGCCTGGCTTTGGCGCTAAGACAGGAAAGGGAGGGGAAGGTTCCTGCAGCCCCGTGCCCTCTTCTCCAAGCTCTAGCTTTCTCTGGTCGCATGGCAAAGACAGCCTGGACCTAAGAAGAAGCCCCAGCTTGCAGTAGGTGCCTACATTTTGTTATACTCAGACGCAATTGCTGGCTTTGTGCTCTTGGCATAGAGAGTTTAACAAAATCTTAATTTTATGGTTTCTCGGGCTTTTTTTTGTAGTCGCTGCTGCCTCCGAAGCATAACTGCCTATTAGTCATTTTGTACTTTTAAAAGATATAATTTAACTGTAGAAGCTGAAGTTTGAAGTACCTGTTCCAGCAACTAGCGTGGATATCTGGGATAGTACAGCACTACCTTATGCGTAGCAATAACTTTGATATCTCAGATGTGTTTACAAATGCTGACTTTTTAATGTTGTGTTTACTTTGTTTCAGTTTCAAATAAGATGAATAACATGTTCAGATAAATCTCTCATATCTTCCTAATTCCTAATTCCTGAATAATATTTAGTTCTTATCCGTTCAGATAAATCTCTCATATCTTCCTAATTCCTGAATAATATTTAGTTCTTATCTCCACATTTCAAAGCATTTACATTATGTGTAGCCTCTTTTTCAATAGTATTTTTCACTGAATTCTGCATGCTGTCATCACCGTGTACAATAAAACCTTCTACAGGGACTTGGGATATATTTGAATAAACAATTCATTTCCAGAGTTCTTGGACGTTTGAATACTTTTTTTTTTTTTTTAATGATTCTTTTATCCTTCAAATTTGAGTCACGGAAAATTACGTACCAATTTTATTTACTATATGTAAGGCAAGTTTGAAATTAACACTAGTGTATGAAATGCAGAACATACTTAAATAGTTAATGTCAAGTGGTATCATCAGAGGTGCATTGGAAATGAATGTGCAGACCGTGCAACATAACTGTTTTTTATTCAGTTATAGGTGCCCAGCGCAGGAGAAGTCCCAGTGCCCTTGCCATTGAAGTATTTGAATCACATTTGGGAAGTCATATTTTACAGGTAAAAAAAAATGGCTTTTCCAAGAAAAATCAAAATAACTGGCTAGTCATATTTCTGCCAATAATTTGAATAGTATTGCCGTCAGCACTTATGTTAATGAGATTTTTTTTTTTTAAGCTTATATTTCTTTCTTTTTAGAAAGCCCATGGTTGGGAGAATGTTAATGAGAGGGAGGGCAAGTATTATTTAGCTGAATCACAATATTTTATTGTTTCGACTGTACAGTAAGTGTTTGTTCTCAGAAATCCTTTATGTATTTGTGTGTATGCGTGCATAAAATGGTATTTTGTTTTGGTGTTTTCATTTGCCTTATGTGTCACATATAGATTTAGGGGATTTTTTCCCCCGCTTTGGTTTATGAGCATTGCTTTCTTCTGTGATATCCCAGTTGTCACAATTATATATCACAAATTTGCAACAATCTGCAAAGAGAAAAAAAATGAACAGCAGTATGTTTCTTAGGTCTCCTTAGATATGAGATAAAAACTAATTTGATCTTTGTCAAGGAATTTAGTCACACTGTACAAGTCATTATATTCCAGGAAGATTAAACTGAAAAACAGTGACCTGATGGAAACGGTCTTACGCATGCTTTGTTTTGTCAGGGTTAATACAACCTTTCTTAGGTTGCGGTAATCAAACGTGGAACAGAAGCAGTTAAGAACAAATGTGATGGGTTTTTTCAGCAAGGCAAAAGCCCAGAGCTACGGAAATAAAAAAAAAACCCACATAGTCTTTTCCAAGTGTGGCACTGCATAACTGCTCTTATTTAGCAATGTACACAGCTTCTCAATGCAAATATGTTGCTTAGTGTATTATCTTTTGAGAGGTACGAAAGAGGTAAATTAGGATATTATGAGAAATATTCCACTTAATTTGAAATGATTGAGAGCTATCTCTCTGTACTAACTCAGATGTGGCATTCAAAAGCACTATGGATAATGTCAGATTTTTCACATCTTTATAAAGTAACTAAATGCAGAATAACAACAAAGATAATTTTAGGAAAACATGAAATTAATGAGTAGAATGAATTTCTCTTTGGAACAAAAATCATGAATGAAGTGATTTACTTGTACACCCTTGGCAGAGGCCTAGGTCAAGTTTTTGATTCTGTAAGCAAATATTTGTGTTATTGTTACAATATCAGAGATATCTGCACCAGTATCTACAGTACTCTATTTGCATATTAGACAGAAATGCTGTTATGCTGTCTCATAAGTGTAGAAAAAATGAAGAAATAGCAGTTTTGTGGTATTTCAGCTTATGTAATTTGTCAGTGTGTTGTTTTGAGTATGTAAGCATGTACTATGTATCCTAAAGATACATTTTTTACAATATGAATTATAACAAATATCTAGATAAAACCTCACTGGGACTGATTTACATTCCTTAAGTATTGGGTATGTCCTTTATGACTGAAAAAGAAAAAACCTAGGATGGCCACATGGAAAACTACTTGACATTTGAAATCTTCACTTATTGCATATTAAAACAATTAGTGATTATATCACTTATTTAAGCTAGATTCTCCTGTTGCTTTTTATTTTTGTACTTATATGTGATAAATTAAGGTGTTTTCAGGATATAACTTTACCATAGTACTAGTAAAAAACCCTATATTGCACTTGTACCCATAACTGAGGATTTTCAGTCAAAATTACCATCAGCATCGTATTGAATATCTGTTGAGGTGTGGCCTTTTCAGAGAGGGTGGTGCTTTTACCAAATTACTCCCATTAATCTCTCGATTGATAATAGAAAGTTCCACTCTGACATTTAAAAGAGAATAGACTGTTGATGATGGATAAAGGACAAAATGAATTAATAAGGTGGCAAGTTTATCATGATATGTTAAAGTCTTGTCTTATTTTAGCAGAGTAATCAACACTTGGAAGGAAAGTCTAAATCATGCATTCAAATGCACTACTTTGAACAGATCTGAGTGAACTTCAAAGTACTGCCTTGTGGTCTAATAGGTAGAAAGATAATCTCCAGAAGACAAAATGATTTTTAAAACAACAATCAGACAGATTCTGTGGTGGAATACAGTTCTAACAAGTTCTCATTTAGTCTGCTGCTCCTAGAAATTATTTTCAAAGCAATATTGTGATAAGTATTGTTTGCAGGTGAAGTAAACAAGCTTGATTATACTTTGGGAATACCTGTGTTTGATTTCAGAGTCTGCTATCTGAGGAAGCTGAATTAATAGTTAGTTTGTTTAATCCCTTTTGCTATTAATATCTTGAAGACTGGGTTAAGTGTAAGCTCAGAAATTAAGGAGCCTCTCTAATGCTTCTAATATTTTGATACTTCAAAATTTATTGACAGACACATGAGAAGCATAATACAGTATATTTTTTTAAAAGTGGATATAGCTTATTTATAGTGATGTTGTAAAAACAGAAATGAAGGTGCATCTGGTGGTATATTACATCTTGAATCTACAAGCAAGTAGTGTCAGTTAGTCACATCAAAAAATTGCCAAGCCACAGCCAGTTGCTGGATGTCATGCTGCAGAGATTCCCACAGTAGGTTTGAAGCCACTATCCACTGTGTGCTTGTGGAAAAAAAGGCACCACAAAACATGGAAGCCCAGACACTATTATATCAGAATCTTCACATTGGGGCAAAAAGTCTTTTAAATGTTTTCTAAGTAAAATCACCTGAATGATGAAAAGTAGAAATGATTGTACTAGAGGAGAAAAATAGATAATAGCAATACATTAATTAATTTTTGAAAATATTTTTGATTTGCCAAGTTGTGTGCTTTGTTATCTTCTAAATTCTTCTGAAAAGTCATGTTATAGTGAGAGTAGACTTCAGTAAAGACATCTTCAGTTTTATGTTTCTGTGTATATATATTTGCTTATATAATAAATCCAGTAAAAAATATTACTTATGGTACTAGCTAGTCAAAAACTTGGCTGAAACTGGTTGTAAAAATTAGCAAGAAGTTTATAATTTTTTTCAAGGCCCCTGGATTTTTTCTGACTTCATTGCTATTGAGAAGGTGTGGAAAAGGGTCAGTAACCCCATATTCTTCATATAATCAGGAATGATCAGGAAATGTAGGACTAAATATAGAGAAAAGGAAAAGTTACTGAATATATTTGCATATGCAAATTAGCTTAATTGATACTGCTTGCCTCTACAGGGATTTTTCATTACAAACTGGAGTGCTACATTGTTCAGCTCATATTGAGTAATTTAGTAACTAATGAGACCAGTTTGCACTAATTTGCATATGATAAATGAGCTTAATTGCAGTAAATAACTTGGAGGCATAATTACTTAATTTTCCTGTGTTGCATGGCTTTTAAGTTCACGTATGAACAACTCAAGATAATTTTGCATATTTAAATTAGTTGCTTTTAAAATTCTTGAACAAAAAAGAACACACCTTGCAATTTGAACTCTAAAACAATTATAAGTAAAATGTATAGTATTTTCAAATAAAAAGTAATATTTAAAAAAATATATTTATTCCTTTAAAAATACCGATGACTTCTTAAAGAATAAATATTTGGAATTAAACACAACGGAATAGTTTTAAAGTCAGAATAGGATAGAAAGATGGTATTAGTAATAATAATAGAACTGTGTGTCTGAACTGTAGTGAGTGGTACGCATTTTGTATTCCTGCATACAAGAGTGATAACTTTCATAATTGCATTCTTTGCTTCAGCAGTGCCTATTCAACTGTTAAGAAACTATAACACTTTCATATAGCATTATATTACTGTACACAATAACTTAAACACTTAGTTGTCTTAAATTGTTTATACTGGTCTTATCTCTACCTAGTTTTCTGTGATGAAATCCTTAAGTCGGAGAGATACTGAAGTGTCAGTGCAACAAAGATGTCTTTTTTTCTCTTTTTTTTTTTTTTTTTTTTTTTTTTTTTTGTGGACTTGGTCAACAGTGAGCACTGTCATGAATAACCGTTGTGATGGAGGTTTCTACCATGACTTCTGGGGAAAAAAAAAACCAAACCAAACCCAAAATCAAAATAGATGAAAGATGCCATTTAATTTCTGCTATGTATATTACATACTTTTGATAGAATTGATAGAATTGGATTATTGAACTAGACAGGGAAAAAAGCTCAAACACCCAACTACTAAACTCATGAACAATTCAGTCCCATAGCAAGATCTGTTATGCACCTGTGACTTACAAGTGGATGACAATCACTGAATTCTCCATCTGTGCTATAAAAGGGCCCCACCTACCTTCCTAGAAGCTTTTCGTAAGCCTTGTTGAACATTGTCTTGGAAACTTTATCAAAGAATCACAGAATCAGTTAGTTTGGAAAAGACCTTTAAGATCATCAAGTCCACCACTAAACCATGTCCCTAAGCACCACATCTACATGTCTTTTTAAATACCTCAAGGGTTGGGGACTCCACCACTTCCCTGGGCAGCCGGTTCCAATGCTTGACAACCCTTTCAGTGAAGAAATTTTTCGTAATGTCCAATCTAAACCTCCCCTGGCACAACTTGAAGCCGTTTCCTCTTGTCCTGTTACTTGGCAGAAGAGACCAACACACACCTTGCTACAACCCCCTTTCAGGTAGTTATAGAGAGTGATAAGGTATCTCCTCAGCCTCCTTTTCTCCAGACTAAACAACCCCAGTTTCCTTAGCCATTCCTCACAGGACTTGTGCTCCAGACCCCTCACCAGCTTCATTGCCCTTCTCTAGGTACACGAGACTCACATTTCCCTTTTACTTTATACTGTACCTTTTTATCCCATTAAGAAAGTATTTTGTGATGAAGAAACATCTTTGTACTTGCAGTATCAGACTCAATGAAGGAAAAAAAATCAGGTTCACAATTCAGAGAGGATACCTGTGGCGGATGTGTAGTTGGGTCCAAGATGACCCAGCAAAGTGATCTGTAGTATGCACAAGGACTATAAGCCCCTGTTTACTTCCTAGCAGCCTCTGTATCAGCTCAGACCTGATCATGTAATGTAATCCTAGAATGGGAGCAGA